AATTCGTTAAAGAGATGTTCCCCTTCTCCCACCCCTCATATCTAGTGCAATATCTCCTGCATCAAAATGATGAAAAATTGAGATACATTTATTTTTTGTAACTATTAATCATACGTCCTCCAGCGGCAAACCTAGAAAGTTGAAAATAATTTCCATTGACTTCTCTTAGCCTCTTTTGTTAACAAAAACTTTCTTCCCAAGCTGTGTAATTAACGGTTCCATAGATATGGCCTGTGACCTTCATTAATAGAACACCCTGTACTTTTATTTTACGGACCATATAAAAAAAGTTGACAATTTCTTAGAAACGAAACGTTGTATTGAAAATCTCTTAACGCTATCTTGTAGAGCTCAAAAAGTGACAATGAGAAAGTGTTATGTTTGGTATCTGTTCAAATAACGTCGGAAAAAAATAACAAAATCAGTAAATTTCGGTTTTTCTTCTTCGTAAGTAATCGGAATTTTCTGGTATTCTTTCTTTACAGCATGATGATTACTGTTTAATTCCGCAACTTTTCCCTAATTTAACCATCGTCGTATCTTCTATGGTTTCCGAGATCTCCATGATAGACACACTGTATATGTAAAACCAAACATCAAAAAAGTCAAGTAAACGCAAAATTAACGCTATTTCTTTGCTGAAACTTTGGGAGACTTTCTAACACTATCGAAAGAGTAGCATAATACACAGATAGCACAAGCAACGTTTTTGTTTAAATGAAATTGTTACTAGGCTCTTGTCACCAAAGAGAATCTGAAATCTACTATACACTGTGTGCAAGGTATGGGCATTCCGGAAAGGATAAGAGATACAGAATTGGTTAAATGCGAGAACAGTTGCGTAATCAAAGGTGTAAGAAGATCTCTGAACATTTTTTTGATTTTTGAAATATCGGACTTTTTCGAACAATTTTTTTCCTGGCGCAAAGAGCAAAACCAATCACACTTCCCAACTTTTAACGCTCTGGCGTTGTTAATTTTTTAATCCAACGTTTCGCCTTTGCGGAATCAACATCAACTTCATTTTTTTTAATACGGTTCTGATATTCCGATATCATATTCTGAATTCAATGGTGTCTAGTACGTTATGGTTTTATTGCGGTTTGATTTTCTTCAAGCTTAATTTAAGAATCCTACTACGGACCTGTACCGGGTGACCCAATAAGACTGTATCTCGAGAAACGTTTGTCATAAAAAAAATTATTGGGTAAATCGGTCATGAAGAATCGCTGGAAAATATTTTCAAGTTCTAAAAATGACCAACAGAGGGTGTAACTGCCATTTTAAACTTTACAATTGCATATTCTTTAAATTTCGCATAATAAACTTAAAAAAAATTTTTTCACATTTTTAAGAGAACCAGTTTATCTATCATTTTCGCAAAAACAAAAACTCAGATATTTCAAAAACAAAGATGACATGGGGTGTTCAATTGTTTTTGCAATAACCTGCTTTATTGTAACAAATTTGGTATCGTTGAAAAGAGCATGCCTTGGGCAACAAGAATCAACCAAAATATAGTTAATTTAGTTGAATCCTTCTCCGACAGGGGACTAGTTTTGACACTATGGCCCAAAATCCTAAAAAAATCAAATGAAATGATATGACTTTTTCTTCATGAAAAAGTAGCCAAATAACATCCAAAGAGGCCAGTGAAAACCGTTTTTCAAAAATACTGTATTCATCAGTTGCAAATATCGCTAGAGGTATGTTGGTAATATGTATCGAAAATTGCCCTTTCTAAAATGTCCATAGTGACCCTTCTTATCGCCAGGGCAGGTATCACTGAGCGGTAAAAAAATTCAGAAATCAATTGTTTTTCTCGGTCTGAAGATACAAATGTCACTGACGTTGACTCAAACCAAATCAACCAACAGGACTGCACAATGATACTTCGATAGTTTTCTTGTAAATTCTTTTTTTTTAATTCGGTGCAGACAAAGTTTGTTTTCTCGACACAAACTAGAACGGGTACCCGATTTTATAATAATAGATAGTCCAATAAGCAAAACACTGTGGAATTCTCGTGTACAACCTCTTGGAATTCATGGATTTCGTATGGAATTCTAAGTCTAAGCTATAGTTCAGGCAGTGGCTTACTTTGTATTGATTTTTATACGTGGAATTCATTCACCACAAGCTCGGTATGACTGTAGGTTTTGCACGGGACTAAATTAATTTTATGGATCACAAGATTCTCCGCCACGAAACGCTATGCGAAATGACGATCTTTTTAAAGCTTATTTGATAGTGTTAAAATCGTGTTTTTTTTTTAATTGAAAGAAAGTCAAAACAATTTTCAGCAGTTTTAAGGTAGCACTTGCCAAAGCTGAAGATGTGTTCGCGTGTTGAGTCAAATAAAACTATTTATTTCGAAACAGATTCAATTGAAGTGATTTTAGAGGTCTAAGTTCTTTCAGCTCGTAAACCATAGATTTCAGGCATACGATTGAAAATACCACCTAAGAGATGATGAGAAAGGGACTCGAGTACATTTTTGCTCAGTGGTTTACCCCTCGGTTATTGCTCAACCCCTATTTTGTACCAACATTACCTTTCGTTTGAACTAACTTTCCGAACCAAGCACCAATTTATTAAGGATCCTCAGATCCTTTATAGTTTTGTATTGTCGTCCGTCCGTCCGTGTGCGCTCTAACTCTTTTTAAAAGTGGCCGATTGAGTTGAAATTTGGTGTACGGGTTCTTTGGACATTAAGGACGGACGCTATTGATTTTCAGGAAGCTGGTTCAATAGGAACAAAAAAGTTATAGGACTTCGAGTGAATCGGGAACAGGAAAAACTACGGGCTCAATATAATAGAAATCAACATATTTCATTCCCTAGGTCATGTATCGGGTTGGGACTTCCGCTAGATTATTCCCTATGACTCTTAGATGTGTAATACTTTAATATAACTCTTCTCTGTGGTATAGGTCGAAAGTTTTAGAGCAAAATGTAGCAAAAATTACACTTTATACATGAATTTAGAGTTTTAAAAGGTTTCAAACGCATTATCTTGATGCAGCAAGAGTACATCACGTGCACATTTGATAACCGCATGTGTGTTCAAAAATGTTAAATTATTGCCATATGGGTTTTGATCAAAATAATCAAAATCGTTATTTATGCACCAAGATCGTCGAGAAAAAGACTAGGGGCATTATCTCAATGCTCAAGACATAAATTTGATGCATTTCTGGCGACCACATGGATTTTGATCAAAACATGTCAAAATCGTTATTTATGCACCAACATTGTTGGGAAAAAGACTAAGAGCATCATCTCAATGACCAAAACATGAATTTGATCTATTTTTGGCGACCACATGAATTTTGATCAAAACATGTCAAAATCGTTATTTATGCACCAAGAACGTTGGGAAAAAGACCAAGAGCATTATCTCAATGATCAAAACATGAATTTGATCTATTTTTGGCGACCACATGGATTTTGATCAAAACAAGATTAAAAGCATTATCTCAATGGCCAAGACATGAATTTGATGTATTTTGTAACATTAAAATAAATTATCGTTAAAAGTTATTGTAATACTGAGGATCCTTCGATATTTCGTTGTATCGGTTTATTTCTACCGTTATTGCTTGGGTAATCAGGGTTATTAAATCTCACGAATTTTGTTTATTGTTATTTTTTTATTTTTTTTAATTTTTTTCTATGAGTTGAAAACATCTCGACCTACATGCATTCTTCTTCCATGGCCTGTATCTGTGAACAGCGAAGTTACAATTACGAGACACAACAATTATAAAGAGAACGAGCAGGGAGTAAACATGTTCATCCAATCATCTGCACATTTCCCCATAATTCCCCAGTAATTCAAAATGACGTTCCGTTGTTTTATTATAAACAAAAATCATATTTAACCGAATACAAGCTCTTCTAAAGGGCGAATTTTTTTCGATCCAAAAGAGAAGGCGTCGATGTAATCGCCCAGTAACCTGAAGAGCTTGATAAGATAATGCAAAATGCATAAAAGAACGGATTCAAAAGGTAGGCAATTTAACTAAAAGATTAGAACTGAAAGTTGGTATAACGGGTTTCACCTGCAGAAATGATAAAAATTGGATAAATGCCGTTTAAGATTTGGAAGGGTGGAGACGTCGATATGATTTCGTCTCGACCACCTTCACGCAATTTATGATATGAGCGCAACAATTAAACCCACGTATCATTTCCGTGTAAACATAAACATTAAAATATGTAACACCTTGTGGCAAAAAAAACGCGATACAGTTACGAGGGAACCTGCTGTGCTAAATTAACGAGAAGTGATTGAATATTTGAGCAAAAATACATCTGCCTCTGCATCCTGTACAAGTTTGGTACTTACGATGGGAATCGTAAATGTATTTAGGTAGGCGTGCCCGTGGCGTTTAGCATAAATGTTATGTTATGGGAAGTACATGTCCCGGTAAGTGATGGCACGTGTCTGCAATCGTGGGTTGGCAAAGATAGCCGCAACTAACAAGAGGGTGGTAAGCAGCTGGATCTTCTGACGTCCCGCAGCTGCCACGCATCTGGTGCCCCCGCGCGCGACCTTCATTATACCTTCTGTGATAATACTTCCTTTTACGCATTCCGTCATCACCACCCTCATTAATATAATCGGGTAGAATCCCTATTAATAGAGTCGGAGAACCACATGTACGCAGTTCAAAAGGAAACGTGAATAATATGAGGCGCAAATGTACGAGAAAGCTCAAGGGATGATTGTACCAAGTACGGTACATACCTACGAGACAGGAAGGGTGCTATAAAGACAGGAAGGGGGTAGACGGACTCTCGCGTGCAAGCTGTCCGGGGAGAGAGCAAAGACCCACACCTGCTTAGAGCAGATGTTGCGTCTCGCCGGCAATGTCCTTTAATCCCCTCTCTATCATAATCAACAAATCTTGATAGTCGACTTACCCTTAAAGGGATTAATGAAACAGGTAAACGACCCAATTACTCTTTCTAATTGCAAAAGAAGAAACCACCTTCGTAATCTACTTTATTTAGAGATTTATCCTACAACTAACAGATCATCGCCAACAAATGTGTGTTCTGGAACCTCCAAGTTCAGAGGAGCAGGTCCTTTTCGAATGCGACCAGAGGCATCGTAGTGGGATCCATGGCAAGGACAGTAAAAACCTCCGGGCCAATCTCCCGAGTTGGGAATAGGAATACATCCCAAATGCGTACATACCCCCAACACCACCAGGAACTCTGGCCTCTTCGTCCTACTTTCGTCGCTCTGCGGATCTCTGAGCGTGGAAAGAGGTACGGCCCGTTCGGTCGCGATTTCTTTAGGCGTCCTGTGCTTTATGAATAAAGGTTTACCTCTCCATTTGTACGTTCCATTTTGCCCTTCGGCTATTTCTGAAAGTTTCACCTCGATTTTTGCCAACGCCATCACATCCGCGGCGGCCGTCATCGAAATCACGAGCGTTGAAATGGTAAACTTGGCAAACCCGACGCCGGCGATGCAACCCGTCGCGGCAATTGCGTGGGTAAAGCTTTGGCGGTCGTCTATAGTTTCGCGATTCTTTTTGTAAAGATCCAAGGATGGTTTTCGTCTATAATCTGTAAAGTCGGGCACTCGAATATTGGTGTGGGAATATTTGACGTGTGACGTAAATGCGGGTCCAGATACGCCAAGTACCTTACCAAGAGGTCGGTTTCGTAACAAGTGGCTCGCCAACATCTTGGGCGGATGTAAAAAAATCTCCTTAGAAGGTTTAACGTAACTTGTTCTTTTAAAAAATACTGGAGCAACTACCGCTTCGGTTTTAGCATAATCTACAAATTTTCGCACCGGACAAGTCATAATTTTGACAATTACACCACAAACAAAAGCTTGAATGACCATAACTGGATCTATAATTTTAACAATAAAAGCGAACCTAAAAAAATAGAACGTGGCTCGTAGACACTTTGTCCTAATTTGTATTCCATTTCAAAGGACGCCCAGGTACTTCTGAATAAAAAAAGGGGATCTCATTCAACTGTCTAGGTTTCGTTAGACTTATTTATAACTCGCGCTTTCACTATTTAGAGAACATCCCGTTTCTAGAACGGGACATTTATAGGTGAACCCTTCGAACCGGTAACGGTGAGATAATCGGCTCTAAGCCCTTCCCAAAACGACCACTTGTCAATGTTGTGTTTGACAGACACAAGTTTTCATTCATTACCAAAATTACTGTTTCTAGAGAGAGTTTCGGATGAGCGATTTAAATTTTGACTGAACTTTCCCTTGTTGGAAATCAAATTTAAAGCCCAATTTTAAGGAAATTCCTACTCAATATCGATTTTTTGAATTGTGGCAGTATGAAAACTTCGAATCGCAATTTTTCAGAATAAGGTAAAACGAGAACTTTTTGAATTCTGATACGATAGTTTAGAGTGAGTTAAAGAACAAATGCGCCATTTTACCATGCTCGATATAAGAACATGCACCGCAATCTTGTATGAATTTTGCATCATTTTTTGAAGCAGCGAATATTACTCTAGCTCATGAGGGGTGAGGGAAAGGGAACATTTCCATGTAACTCCGGGTTTTCCACATAATTGGTCTTATTGGAATGAACTCATTTCGTGTAATCAGATTTTATATGAATAGAATCTTTTTAGTAAATGTGATGAGTGGTAGAGGGCGCGCTTTGACATTAACATAAACTGTGTAGGTTGAAAAAGTGAAAATATCAGTGAAAACGGCATTTTGATAACTGTTTCCTGAGCAGAGATGTGGCAAAAATATCTATACATCATTCACAAATGTCAATTGCAATATTTATATTTATCCAAGTTCACTAAGAAACAAAAGAACACATCACAAGTGATAATTAAAATGTGAACCCTCTGACAATTTCTACACGTAGTGATAATTCGCTCCCTTCGCTCTTTACTAGTATTTAAAGTAAGAAAACACACATGATCCTTTAACGTAACTCCAAAAGTAGTGTTAGATTCGAAGATCGCAAGCCAAACTATGGGTCCATTTGTGACTAACCATCTGGAAATGTTCAGTTTAAATTATTCTCGCGCATTGTGCGCAGGAGCACCGTCTAGTTGAAAATAATTTATTCGGGAATTTTTCGAGCTCGGTTTGTAAGAAATTGAGGTACCACAATTTAGATTTCCTTCATGTATGAAAGGTCCGATAATCATATTATTAAATATTCCACATCATTTAACAATTAAATTAAACTGGACATGAGATCTAATTTCTATAAATCTGTTGAAATTTTCTGTGGACCAACATTTTTCTGTTGAAAGTGCCCTTATTGGTAAAATTCGACTCGTCGCTCCATGAAATTTGTGGGTTGTTCTCATATTCGTTAATTAGTAATAGACAAAACTGCAATTTTCTTTTTGCATCACCTTCATGTAAAGTATGCATTAAATTCCATACCTATTCATTTTTTTTTTTAAATTCTCCAAACGCCTGCCTGGGGACCGTTGAGTAATTTCAACCACTTGTCTAATTGATAAAGTTTGATATTTATGAATTACAGTAATTACTTTATTTTCTACTGCTCCTCGTTGAGCCACCGTTTGTCGCACCTTTCTAATTTTCGAAAGCGATCCATACACCCTCAAATTATATTCTTAAACGTTGACACATAATGACGCTGTCTTTGTTCTGGATAACTCTCTAAGTACAGGTACTCTTTGGAAATTTCTATTGCATTTAAAATACGCATCTAGCATATCAACTTTTTCATCATTATCAAAAACGTAGACCATGATAACGATCAATAGCCCATAAGTAATAAAAGTACTAATAATTAACTTATTGTATACTATACTGCTTTTGTTTCTTGCTTTCAATATACTCATGGATATTGCTATTATTTACACTCAATAAAATGTCACTTGAAATGTTTTTCTTTTAATTTTGAACTTATTTTTTTGGTTTGTTTTTTGGTTGTTTTAAAACATGTTATAAATTTATGAAATCATGATTTTTTCTCTATTAGATGACCTAAAATTTAAAATGGCTTTCATATGAAAAACCGATGTTCGTATCGATATTAAATAAGTGTTAATGACAACGAAAATTCATTTCCATCATCTAAAAAAAACATAAAAAGTTCCCTAAAAAAAGTCTTTTTAGTTTTTAAATACCTCCCCAAATAACTATTTTAAAGTCAAAAATCAAAAACATCAATTATGTTATTTTTGCCATATTTTTGAGAGGGGTCAATTTTGTATTTTCATTTTACTTATGCATAATTCGAGGATCATATTCGAACGGCATCGAACCATATTCGAAATAGGTGTTTTTCCTAAATTAAAGTTGTTATAACGTTACATGAATATAACATAATCTTTTTTTCACACTATCGAATCTTAAACAGACATTTCAAATTCTGTTACAGAACGAATAATCCTAAAATTTTGAGCCGGAAATTTTGGTGTCACTTTTTATATTTTAAACTTTAATAGTGAAATAAGTTCTAATTTACATAATAACGAGATGAATATGAAAAAAAAATGAAACTAATATCACTGATTGGATGACATTAGGAGTTAAATTAAATTTGCTTTGTAGTCAAATGTTTTTACTTATTCTCCAGTTTTTGGACTTAAAATAAATTGTTTGAAAAATAAATTAATCGTTATGATTTTAGTTTTGGACGAGATAGATAAAAAATTGCCTTTTTTGCATGGCCATGCAAATTACATATAACTTATTTAAGATTAGGATATAAAAACCAGGAAAACCAAGATATTTCGAAAACTATCAGAGATAGGTATAGGACCTTATATTATCAAAAGTTGAACGTTTTTGGAGGAGCCAAAAAAATGGCAGAAAAATACACAGGGTGTTCCATTTAAAAAAAATGAGATTTTTTAATATGAAGTTTTGTCACTTTGGATTTAGAAAAAAACACCCTGTAAGCTATTTTTTTAATGTTTTATAGTAGATGTATTTATTTGACTTTTACTTAACCCAGGATAAAAGATATAAAACCTGGAATCAAAAAAGTAATAATTTTGACAATATATTGACGCTCGCAAATGCCCAATTTTTCTTAAATCGAATTATCTTTAAAATTATTAGCTTTTCGGATATTAACCATATAATAAAAAAGACGTACCTACAATTACACGTAGAATTCAAAAATGCATTCAAATACAGGGGATTCTATTAAAAAAATGTACCATTTTGGCGCCCCACTTTGTGTATAATTCCAAATATTTTTAAAATGTGGAGAATATTCAACCATATCATAATACAAAAGCACTCTATCGAAAAATCTAATCTTCAAGGCATTAAGTTACTCCGCGCAATCGATCGACTCATACTGTACAATTGTACATATTTCATTTATGCTATATACAGTGTGTCCAAGATAAGAATGAACAGCATGGGGAAATCGGAAACCATAAGAGATGCACAATCAGTTAAATTAGAAAAAAGTAAAATGATGTTTTAAAAATTCGGAAATTCCGATCAGTTTTTAAATTATTCCAAAAAAAAAAACGAAATCAACCCTATTTGGTTTTCGTTTCTTCCGGCCCTGTTTGAGAAGATGTCAAACAAATAACACTTCCCCACAGATACTTTTTAAGCTCTACAAGACGGTGTCAACAGATTTGCGCTGCGAAGTTTCGTCTTTGAGAAACGCTCATTAACTTCATATTTTTATATGGACCGAAAAGAAAAGTACACATTGTATTGACTAATATTTCTTATAACACACGAATGCAATGACGTCTACATGGCATAATATGATTCTTTATTAGGTAGGCCATTTAAAGAAACTATCAATAAATTATTTTGACATTTTGTCAACGCCTACTACACGAAACTGTTAAAAATGTATACTTTTTTCCGACTTAAATAATAAACAATTTTGAACATTTTAGTGTAGTAGATGTTACAAAATGTCAAAATAGTTCATTAAGGGTTCCTTTAAAAAATGACATAATAAAGAATAATATTGTGCCATACATAACAAACTGTACCTATTCGTAATAAAAAATGCTACTCAATACAGGATGTACTTTTTCTCGGGTCCATACAAAAATATTAAGTTGATGATGGTTTCTCAGAGAAAACGTCGTAGTGAAAATCCTGTTGAGTTAAAAGTTCCTAAAATGTTTTTTGATATCTTTTCAAACAGGGTAAGAAGAAAATAAAAACGAATATGGTTAATTTCGAATTTTTCGAATACCTATCTTTCGAACTGATAGGAATTGCCGAATTTTTAAAACATTTTACTAAGCCCTAAAATACACAACTTTTTCTTTTTATTTAACTGTGTATCCCTTATGGTTTCCAATTTCCCCATGGTGTTCATTCTTATCTTGAACAGGAATTGTAAAACACTAAATCTCTCCACGCATCCAAAGTTTAATGACAATTTAAAGTTGACAGTTAGTTTTTGAAGAAAAACACATCTTTCGGAACGAACCTCGTTCCATTATCAAGTGTTACAAAATTATTTTATCATTACATAGGTGATACCAAGAGGAAAAATGATGTAAAAATTAATTAAGTTTTAGACGACACATTTAAATTTCAAAAGGTTTTAAGTTGTTGTGTCTGAAGGATACGCAAATTATTCGTCAGGATTTTTCTTGGTTGAGGTGCCAGAGCTATAAGCTACCGAAGGCAAAATGAACGAACAAAATGTCTTGAAAACTGTAGGACTAGTTAAAGCCGGATGGGCAGATGGAGAAAGTGTTCCAGATCGATACCAGGTCAACGTGATGGGCTATAGCGTGGACCGGCGGATGGGCATAGAGTACATAAGCGTGAGTTACGCCAAAAAAACAGAATTTTTTTGTTTGTTTAACTAAGTGTTCTTTTAAAATCGTTCGTTATTATGCCCCACCTTGTATAATCAATATACAAAGTAGATATTTAAGAACAAGAAAATATCTCGCTCGTCTAATGCGTGGTATATGCTACGCGGGCGGCCCGGGTTCGATTCCCGGCCGATGCAGAATTTTTGTAATTTTTTTTACTTTGCCGAACCCTTAACTTCCTTATTTATGGACCGATCATGATGATATTTTAACAGTAGCACCTTTCAATAAAGCCAAGTCGATCTTACTGAAATTCTAACCTTTTAATAATAGCAAATCAATCGATTATATTAAATATATAATATTGATTTTTGAAAAAGGTGTCTAATTTGACCCCATAATGTTATAATATTGTGGTGTTAATCTTGAAATAGGGACATATGATCCTGCACTTTCAGTTTCTGCT